ATCCTAGCACTCAGAAGGCTGACTCAGGAGGATTGAGAATTCAAAGCTAGATTGGGCTACATAGCGAGTCCTGTCCCAAAACAAAGCAAATGACATATTCCAGACCCCTTAAAAGTTTCCTCATAAATTCTTGTAATCTATCTTTGTCTCCTCCTTGTCCAGTGCCCATTCTCCAGGCAGCAACAACAATTTATAGTGCTGCCAGTATAAATTAGTTTGAATTTTCAGAGTTTTATATGAATAGAAGCATATAGCAGTTCCAGCTTCTTTTCACAACAAAATTACTTTGAGATCCATCCATGTTATTGCTTGTATCTATAGCTCATCCTTTTTTTGATGCAGAGTGGTATTCTATTGAATAAGTACATAACAACGTATTTGCCATTCCACTAATCTGTTGATGAACATTTGGCATGCTCCTTATTCTCAGCTGTTTAAAAATAAAACTGCTGGGGTTGGAGAAATGGTTCAGTGGTAAAGAGCACTGGCTGGTTTTGCAGAGGACCCAGGTTCGATTCCCAGCACCCACAGAGCAGCTAACAACTGTCCATAACTTCAGTCCAGAGCATCCGACGCCTCTTCTGTACTCCACAGACATTGCACTCATATACTCATGCAGGCAATACACTCATACACACAAAATAAAAATAATAAAATATTTAAAAAATAAAAATAAAACTGCTGCCCTTTTTAAAAATAGCAGCTCTTCAAAAAGAGTTATCATATGACTCATGTATATGCCAAGAGAAATATAAATGTAAGTTCACAAATACATTGTACATGAATGTTAATAGAAACATTATTTAGGATAACCTCATAATGGTGTTCAACAACCAAATGTCTTCCAACTGATAAACAAAATGTGGTACATTCATAACAGTGAAATATTGTTGTAATAAAAACAATAAGGGTTGATAACATAGATAAGCCTTGAAAATACTGTGCTAAATGAAAGAAGCCAGACACAAAAAGTCATATGCTTTATGATTTCACTTATATGAAATGTCCCCAAAAGGCAAATTTATAGGGACAAAAAGCAGAGCAGTGGTTTCTGGGGCCTTGGTGTGGGTTGGAATGGAGTGTGATTGCTAATATAGAGTTTCTTTGGGTGGAAGTTGAAAATGTCTTAAGAATGGTGATGGTTGTAGAGTTCTGTGGATATATTAACATCATAAAAGGATGAATGTGTTATATGATTTATTTCAATACACATATACAATCTAATGTTTTCAATAAAGCTTCAAGGACCTTCAGCTAACATGTAGAAGTTGTCATATAGGAATGCACTTTCATCTTTCTTGAGTAAATACTTTGCAGTAGGTCCTATGATAGGTGTGTGCTAAACGTTTTAGGGAACTGTCACTGTTGTATAAAATGATTGTACTGATTTATATTCCTAACAGCTGTAACAGGGGTTCCTAGCTCCACATATACCCACAAACACTTGGTATGGTCATTATTTTAATTTTAGATATTCTGAAAAATATGTAGCATTATCTCATTGCTTTAACTCATTTTCCTAATAACTAACGTTGATATCTTTCCTTGAGCTTACTGAATGTTTCTCTGTGGGTATTCTCTGGTGAAATCTGTTCTCCACCACCACCATCACCAACACATTTTGTTTTGTTTTGTTTTTTTTCCTCGTTGTATTTTCAAAGTTCTTTATGTAGTTGGCCCTCCATATCTGCTGGTTCTGCCTCCACAGATGCAATCAACTGCAGGCTAAAATATTCTGGAAAAATATTATGCCAGTTCTGAATTTACAGGCTTGTCATAGTGCCCTAGACAACAAAGCACATAGTGTTTACATTGCGTTAGGTATCTTAAGTATCCAAGCAATGACTTGAAGTATATAGGAGGATGTGCATAGGTAATAAACACAAAACCATTTTATATCAGGGACTTGAGCGTTCATAACTTTTGGTATCCTTGGAGGTGGGGGCGTCCTGGAACCAATTCCAACAGATGCTGACGGACACTGTGTATTTTGGGTAAGTCCTCAGTTACGTGAGAATAGCCTTTGAAAATGAGTTATCCTCATGTAGCAAGGAACACCGACTGGCAACTGGACCAGCAAACTGCGTTAATGCATAACACGAAAAACTCCACAAAAAACTCTGAAAACCTTTAGCAACACGGGCCTATCTGGAAAGCTCTCAGAGCCGCCAAGAGCGCATCAGGCTCCGGGTTGTGTGAACCAGGCAGGCCCCTGTGGCTGCCAAGAGCAGAGCTTGACCTGACGGAAGACACATTAGGCCAATAGGCCTGTTTCCCGGGAGCTGGTTTTTGGGCGGAGACCGCGGGGAATTGAGGAGCAGGGGTACGGGCCCTCGGGGAAGCGGGAACCGGAAGCAACCTTGAGGGCCCCGCCCATGAGGCCCGCCCGCGACCCCGCCTTGACAGGCTGACCCGGAAGCGGTTGTGTGGCTTCACCGTGAGGTCCAGTTCCCTTTTCCGGTCGGCGTGGTTCTGGAGCGGAGCGTCTTCCGCGGCGGGACTTCACCATGAGCGTCCCGGCTTTCATCGACATCAGCGAGGAGGACCAGGTGCGCGCGGTGCTTGTGGGGTGGCGGGTCGGACGAGCGGGGACGGCGGACGCTGGTGGAGGCCGCCCGGAGCCTCTGCGCACTGTCTTTCAACGCATGGGAACCCGTGACCACGCGCTTCTAGCCCAGGTCGCAGCGCGCGGACGGTGAGCGTCGGGACCAAGTCCGAGTCACCGACACTACTTGGTACTTTTCCCGGACTAGGAGCGGTGTCTCCTTCCGTTCCCCGAATGCTGCCACATCCGGACTGTGAAGTGGCGGGTGTCGTCGACTTAAGCACCGTTGGGAAAAGTAACTTTGCGTTGAACGTGTAAATGCGGGTCTTACCGTGCGTTCATCAAGACGAACGTGACCCACATTTTACGCGTAGACCGGAGTTTTCAATTCCCACTTGCGAAGGGTGAGAGTTTGGTAACCCCACGGTCCCTCCACCTGACACCCGCAGCTGGTACTGCGAGGCATGTATACGTGGGCTGTCCTGATACTTTACTGATTGAGGTTTGCTCTTGGGTACGTACACAGGACGCTTCTCTGTTTCACCATGACAGATGATTGTGAGACGCTGTATTAAACATGGAATGATATTCTTTAAAGACACATTTGTCTTTGTTTTTTGTTTTTTGCTGCTACTCCACTAATACAGAAATTTGAAGTTCAGTGTCTTAATTAAATATAAAAGGGGTAGGAAGTTCAAGTATGCAGAGGGAGTTATGCACAGATAGATGTAGAAGACAACACAGAATAACCCAAGAATTGGCTCCCGGTTAACTACCGAAGGATTTATGAATACACAAGTTTTTGTCATCAATCATATTCCACAGTGTCGTTTCTTAGATTATGTTACTGTTCTTGTAATATATAAATTTCACAGTAACCATATTCCTTTCAGCGAAATAGGTGATTGTGCTTGGGGATTTGTGTTTGGTCAAATTGTGTTTGGCTAGGGTTAAGAAATGTCCATCTTTGCTTTCCTTTGTTTCCCTTTTCTTCTTTTCCATAACCATTTGTCGCCTCCAAGAATGATCCAAAAACATTAAACTTCACTAGTTCTTAGGTGTTTGTAATTATAAAGTAGAAAGTGAAATACATTTTTTTTCTTGATTGAGCTATACATTTGATTGGGTTTTTTTGTTTGTTTGTTTGATGGTTTGGTTGTTGTTTTGGTCTTTTTGAGATTGGGTCTCCATGTAGCCGTAGCTGACCTGGAACAGGAGGCAGCTTTGGAGACTAGGCTGTCCTCAGTCTCACAGAGATCTATCACCTCTATCCCAAGTGCAGGAATTAAAAGGAGTGTACCACACCTCATCTGGCTGGACTATATATTTGATCATAGAGAAGAATGATTTCTGGTGGTATTTGTTCTAATATGATGACAATATATTTTTTTAAATACTGCTTCTACTCTTACATGAAGTTAACTATGTTTTTGTCAAGAAAAGTGACAGCAGTTGCGCTGAGGAACGGCTGGGGACACTTAACTTGACACAATAGGCCTTAACACAAATGACAGAATCTATGAATTCCAGTGGCGGGGGCAGCTCTGGGAGTGTGCCAGTGGGGATGGGGATATAAAGATGATTAAGAGTGATTGAGATGTTCTGTATGAAATATACTATGAAATATACAAAAATTCAATAAGAACAAATTTTAAAAAAAGAAAAGTGACATCAAACCTATACGCTTATTATACTTTTCTGAGGTAGCTAACACATTTATAGGTTTTAAAATATTGGTGAACTCTACCAAGATTGTTCTAGTTTCGTCTAGAGAGTTTGATGCCTGTGCATTTTCTAACAATATTCTTTCCTCTGCTGTTTCAGTTTTATGTTGGATCTTTAAAACCACCTGACTTTGTGTTTGACTACCATGAATGCCAAGCCTTCAAAAACTATTAAATATATGTGTAAATTCAGTTGTTTTGATAAACATGGCCCAAATAACCATGTTGCATCTTACAAGATTAACTACGTAGTAGATCCAATTTGTTACATGAACATCATAATCCAGGCAATATTGACAAGTTTTTGGTTTTTTTTCTACTAGCTGTATTTATGTATACATTCAAGAGCAAAGAATTTTTCATTTCTTTTCAAAAAGAATTTTGAATTTGCCTGGTCAGACTGATTTCCTCTCTAGTCCTTAGCCCTCCCTATGGAAACCCTCTGGGATATGAGAAAGCATTTGCTATAGATTTGAAGTCCAGCAGGATACAGGTGATACAAGGGCCTAAAGATGTTCCATGGGGAATGTGTCTACATAGGCTTTGTGGAGGGAAACCTGTGACTCTTGAGATGGGGAAATCAATATAATTTGAAGATTAGTTAGCATTTGCATGTTGTTGTTTCAGAAGGAGGGCAGATGGGTTTCATATTTTGTATTGTCATAATTCAGTTTTACAAATGAATGTAGAGCTTTAACTATTGTTTTATTCACAGGCTGCTGAGCTTCGTGCTTATTTGAAATCGAAAGGCGCTGAGATCTCAGAAGAGAACTCGAAGGGTGGGCTTCATGTAGATTTAGCTCAGATTATTGAAGCCTGTGATGTGTGTCTGAAGGAGGATGATAAAGGTTTGTTTTCATTCTTTTTTTTTTTTTAATTGAACTAATTTTAAAAGAGCCAAAGGTCGTTGATGACCACAAAGAAATAGTTTTCCAGATAGTTGGGAAGTTACTCATATGAACTCACAGCAGTGGTAACAGCATGTACAAGACCCATGCAAGCTCAAGCCAGACAAAATCAAGTGTAGATGTAGGGAAGTAGGTGAAGCACCCCAACCTTAACTGAGGAACTATTGACAACCCATAGCTACTGGGAGAGGGAGATTGATTTTCTTTAGGAATGCGATGCTAGATAGGTTAACCAGGCTCCAATGGATAGAGACACACCAAAGGACATTTGGGGACACAAACTTGGTTCAGTAGGCCTTAATATATGTCAGGGAGGGGTTTACAAGAGGGGTGTAGATAAGAGAGAGGGGTCTAAATATGATCAAAAGATGCTGTATGAGAGCCGAGCATGGTGGCACACACCTTTAGTCTCAGCACTCTGGGGGCAGAGGCAGGCACATCTCTGGGAGATCGAGACCACCCTGGTCTCTATAGTGAGTTCCAGTTCAGTTGAGGCTACAGAGAGACCCTGTCTCAAAAAGACCAAAAAAATTTGTATGAAATTTTTTTAATTGAACAAAAATTCAATTAAAAAATACATTCTAAAAAAAAAAAAAAAAATGCAGGCTAAGCACAGGCCAGAGAGGCAAGCCAGTAAGCAGCATTCCTCCATGGTCTGTGCTTCAGTGCCTGCCATGAGTTTCTGCCCCAAGTTCCTACCCCTATCTTCCTTTCATGATAGACTGTAAACTGTAAGCCAAATCCTCCCCCCAAAATATTTCTTAAATTATAAAAGAATCTACCTTGAAATTTTTGTCAGTTGTTTGTATTTCAGACCTTAAGATTTTTAAGCAACTGTTTTTAATATTTGCATACAGTTTCAGTTTATTCTGTTAGCTCTATGAAGTAAGCCATTTTTGAGAAAAACCTTTTAAAATCATGTACATCTGTGTGTTATATATATTAAATACTGATGGTTTTAGAATGAAGAGAAAAGCAAAAAAGCGCCATCCTGTTAATAAGGTTTGGATAAACTAAGCAGGATATTATTTCAAGTAATGTGAAAGTCATTTTATTATTAGGCTCCTTAATGAGATACAACAGGAATTCCTGTTCTGCAAGTTCTATAATCCTTGTTAAGGTTTAGAGATTAAACTTTGTATATAATTAATATTGATAATACTTGAAAAAGACTTAGCTGGCAAGAATTTAACAGCTTTCAGTTCTAAATCTTTACATGAAGTACAAAGTTTTCTTCAATCGAGACACACGGGTCTAAAACCCAGCTAGTAATTTCAAGATGATTGGATATTGTGCCAATAAATCATACAAATATATATGAACATGTAAATCATCTTAGATAATTTTTCTATTAAAATGAACAAATTGCTTTCTGAATGTTGGCTCTGCTGCAGAATTGGTATAGTTTGAATTCATGTATGGTATGTATTTGCTGCTCTCCAGTAAAGGCAAGTGTCATCTCAAATGGCTTCACAGTAGCCAAATTAGATAGTTTTAGAGCATCTTAGGTATTAAAACACTGGAAATACACACTGAACTGGACACACTGATTATTGTATTACTCTTGTGTTGTTGGCCTGTGCAGATGTTGAAAGTGTGATGAACAGTGTGGTATCCCTTCTCTTGATTCTGGAACCAGATAAGCAAGAAGCATTGATAGAAAGCCTGTGTGAAAAGTTGGTCAAGTTTCGGGAAGGTGAACGCCCATCTCTCAGGCTGCAGTTGTAAGTGACCAGAAAGAATCTAGTTTTTCAAGGGACTGCTTGTATGGCACTATTTGTGATAGTTAAAAGTCGGGATTGTAGAATTTGACTGTCAGTAGCTCTCATTAGCTATGGCATGGGCAGCACTTAAACTTTCTGTGCCCCAATTCCCTCCTTTGTAATATGAAGTTGTTATTAGTACTGCCTCAGGTTTGTTGTGAGAGTGGGTAACTTCAATTAATACTTTGGTTGCTGCCCACAAACAGTGTTCTTGTTTGTTAACCAGACTCAGCAACCTTTTCCATGGGATGGATAAGAATACTCCTGTAAGATACACCGTGTACTGCAGCCTCATTAAAGTGGCAGCATCGTGTGGAGCCATCCAGTACATCCCAACTGAGCTGGATCAAGTGAGTTTCTTCTTGTAATACTTGTTCTATTTATAAGGAATGGCTAAGGTAGCACAGGTCTATGTATCTTAAATGTTATCATCTCTCTTTTGTTTGTTTTTTTGAGACAGGGTCTCATGTAGCCCAGGCTGGCCTCAAATTTGCAGTGTGGTTAAAGATGAGCTTGAACTGATCCTCCTGCCCCTGCCTCCCAGGTGCTAAATGTTAGCTTTTAAACTGAAAGTCTACTACTCAGCTGTGTTACTAAACTTTCTCCTTTTGTGAATCTCGTCATAGGTGAGAAAGTGGATTTCTGACTGGAAGCTCACTACTGAAAAGAAACATACCCTCTTAAGACTACTTTATGAGGCACTTGTGGATTGTAAGAAAAGGTATTTAGAAGTACTGCACTAACAGTTTACCTGGTGGCAGAAGTAGGTACGGGCATGTCTTGAAGATGGGTGGAGAAGTGATTTTATTCAGCTTTGTTCTTCAGTCATAAATCCATTTCTGTAAATTTTATGTACTAAGTTAAAAGGTAATTGCAGCTGGGTATTGTGGCACGCGCCTTTAATCCCAGCCCTTGGGAGGCAGAGGCTGGTGGATCTCTGCGAAATCAAAGCCAGCCTGGTCCACATAGTGATTTCCAGGTAGTCTGGGATGAGGGAGACCCTGTCCGGAAAAAAAAAAAAAGATAATTGCAGGGGCTGGAGAGATGGCTTAGTGGTTAAGAGTACTGGCTAGATTTGGATTTGATTCCCAGCACCCACGCAGCTTCTCCCATCCTCTGGATCTGATGCCATCTTCTGGCCTCCGTGTGCACAAAACACTCATACTCACAGTTTTGTTTTGGGGTTTGTTTGTTTGTTTGTTTTTAAGATAATGGCAAAGATTAAGGGGGAGGCTGGGGTTGTAGCTCAGTTGGTAAAGTGCTTGCTTAGAATGCATGAAGTCTTGGGATCTATACCCAGACTCACATAAACCAGATGTGGTGATAGGTGTTTGCAGTTATAGCACTTGGGAGGTGCAAGCAAGAGGAACAGGGGTTCAGGGTCATCCTTAGCTACATATATTCATTCAAGGACAGCTTGGAATACAGAAGTCCTCATCTGATTAAAAAATTCAAGTGTTTTTTTTTTTCTCGACCTTAAACTTTTTAGAGAACAAAACTTGATTTTTTTAAAACTACTATTATAACTCCCAACGCTGTTTATGACATTAGACTGTTATTTAATGATGCTTTCATGTCATAGTATCAGGGTAGTGCTGTCACTTTTGCTGGTGATGAGGGGACATCAGTGAAAACTTACCACAGCCAAAATTTCTTATGAACAATCACCCTGCAGGTGCTGATATTAAACAACTACTCATTGGGTTGGGGAAGGTCTTGGGGTTCCAACCCATCAAACTTTGTGCCAAAATAATCTACATACCTGGTTTTAGGAGACCTGCAAACAACAGGGGAAGCCTTATCATTTGGTTGTTATAATGAAGGGTAATTCTTTTTTATATGAAGTCATCAGTCTTCAGCTTAGTTTTCCCATACAAATTTTATATTAGCTGTTAATACCTAGAGAGTTAATACTAGCAAGATGAATACATTTCTGTTGTGCTAAAACATTGTAAATATTTCCCATATTAAGCTAAAGTTAAGAACTCTATGTATGCTTCTGTTGTGAAAGGTAGCATGTTGTGTCATAAAAGATAAGCAAGGGGTGCTTACCTTTTTTAAGTTTGTCATTCTGAAGCAGTGGTTACTTTCTTGTTAAAGGCTGGCATGCTTGTAACAACACTTTAGCCAGTTGCTAGTAAAGTGTTAAATTGATTTCAAATAGAGTACATAAAAACTATAAGAGAGCAAGTCTGTATTTTAAATGTGCAGGCTATGGGGTCAGACCACTGGAATTCAGATCTTGAACTGAATAGATTACTTAATGTAGCTGTCCTATTATAACAATAACGATACTAGTCCTTACCTCAGAGTAAAAACATTAGATAGAGTTCTTAGAGGCTTCATTACTGAGCAAACACCTAGTAAGGCCTGTTATTTTTTTCCGCTACCCTTTTTGTTTTTAAACTCACCTTTAGAAATTCGTTTATTTTCCTGGCACAGTAATTTTAAGTGGTGAGTGTTGTGACTGTTCCGTGAATGTCAACTGCTTATTGGCATTGATAATGACTCTGGAGGATTTTTCTTCATGCTGTTTGTTAGGTCCTCAGGCTGCTATGTATAAAAAGGAAATAACTGAATTTCAGAGCTGTTCTTAAGAAAAACGTAAGTAGGACATGAGCACTCAATTGGAACTTGTGTTAGTTCCTTTTCTGTTGCTGTGGTAAACACATGACCTGGGCAACTTTGAGAAAGAAAAGTCTTTTAGCTCACGATTTCAGAGGGGTAAGAGTCCATCATGGCAGGGACATCTGGAGCAGAAAGCTGAGCACTCACATCTTCAAGTAGGCATAGGAAGCAGAGAGACTAATTGGAAATGGGACATGGCTATCTGCTCTCAAAGCCCATCCCCAGTGACTACTTCCTCCATTATGGCCACACCTCCAAAAGGTTCCATGACCTTCCCCAAACAGCATCATCAAACCAGGACCAATTCAAAAGCTCTGAAATTCAGTTATTTCCTTTTTATTCAAATACGTGGAGCCTATAGGGAACATTCTCATTCAGACAGGGCTCTACCTAGACAGGTCCTGATGTTGGCTGTTAGAACATGGTTGTCACAGGTAATCACTTCTCTTCTTTCGTAAGAAAAAAAAATTAACTTGGTGGTGTGTGTGTGTGTGTGTGTGTGTGTGTGAGTGTGTCTAGAGAGAGATAGGGGACACTTGTGGAAGACAGAGTACAACTTGATGAGGTTGGTTTCCTCCACCTTTATATGGGTTTCAGGAGTTGAACGCAAGTCATCAGGCTTGCATGGCAAGCACCTTTAAAAGCCCATCAAGCCATCTCATCTCACAAGCCTTCATTCTTTATCTTCTTGAGGTACTTTAGTTGATTTTTGAAACGCCTCTCGAGATTCTTCTTTCACAGCTCTGTGTCTTCCCTGTTAATGTAAACATCAGAGTGACTCAGTCTTGGAACTTTTTCAGCTGTGTTACATCTGTTCCCTTTGCTCTTGGCTGGCTTGCTGTCATTATGGAGGAAACTGTGAACCAAGTGCATTTTGGGTGGGTTAATTCTTTGTGTTGCTAGTTTGTTAAGTTCATTGCTGGACACTTAGTGGCCTGGCCCACACCTGTGGCCTGTACCTGCTAAATGCTATCAACGTTTCCCAGTCATGGCAGTTGCAGTTACCCCCTTACACTTCCCAGTGTTCTTGAGAGTCCCTTGTGGAGAGCCACAGCTTCCTTAAGGGATCCTCATCTCATGCCTTAAATACAATCAGTATATTGATTTTCAAGTGACCCCCCTGAGCTGCTGCTTCTCCAAACTCCAAATAGGAGTGTCCATTGCTACTTAACATATCCAGTCAGGTATCCAGAAGGTGTTTTAAACTTGATTGTTGAAAAAGTGAGCCATAGCATTTTCTCTAACTCAGGAAATAACCATTTCCTTTCTTCAAATCTTGGGATTTGTCCTTGACCTCTCTGTCTTACATTCTACATTTGATCTATCAGTAAATCCTATCATCTTTGACTAAATCCAGTCAAGCCATTTTACTTATGTTGCTACCAGACGATCTAAGCTATTGTCATTTCTTATTTAAGTTGCCCCCTAATCGTAATACAGCTGCCAGAAGTTCTGTTTAGTATAGATGATCAGTTTATGTCTTTCCTCTACCTAGAACCTTCCAGGGACTTCATTCACAGGAAAAGGCAAAGCCAATTCCAGCCCATGGTACTGGAGAGAACACTCCCCAGAGATCCACATGGCTCCCTACATTCTCCACACCACTCAGTTGTTACAGTCATTGGAACAGTCTTTCTTGACTGCCTATATAACCAACTGCCTCTCTGCCTCATCCCTGTTATAGATCATTTCCCCATTGCACTTTACTAGCAGGCACACTTAATGTTTAGTTAGAATTTACTAAATTACATTTCATGAGGGCAGGGGACTTTGCTTGTTACTAGAACAGTACCTAACACTCCTATGTACTTGGTATATATTTATGAGATGAGTAGCAATTGTTGACATGCAAACATGGCAACACAGTAGTTACAGAAGGCAGAGGTGTAAGACACTGTGAAGTGCTAACTTGAGCTAGGGAGATGTACTCCTCCAAAGGCATTTAGAATGAAACATTTTGGAACACTTGGAAGTATAAGAGACCTGACTTCCCAGATTTCTGTGCTGAAAATTAGATTGCAATGTTTTAGGTTTTTTTTTTAAAAAAAGATAGGGTCTCCCTGTAGCCCCAGCTGGCCTGGAACTTGCTCTGTAGACCATGCTGACCCTAATCTCACAGAGATCCCTCTGCCTCTGCCTTCTGAGTGCTGGGACTAAAGATGTGCAGTACCTCACCTGGTCGTCTTCATTGTTAAGAACAGGTACAGTCCTGTGGGCATCACTTTGACTTTGGTCTTTCTGCGGCACGGGACCATGGTGTCCCTTCTCTGAAACCCTTTCCTTCACTTCAGTGATACCTGTCTCCTTTTCCATCTAGGCTCTTTAGCAGTGCATTTTGATACCTTTGTAAACACCTCTCCCCTGCTGGTACTACTCATTTTTTAATTAAAAAGATTTCTTGAGCTAAGTATATTACATTGAAGTATATAGTGGCTGAGTGTATCTGTGCTTCCAGTGTGGAATAACAATTAACATGGGGTCTCTTAATGTTTTCCTTTGGATTTTTTAAGATGTTATTTTTATTTTGTCTGTATGAATATGTGCCTGCATGTGTGTAAGTGCAGCCTTGTTGTCAGTGCCTACAGAGGTCAGACAAGGGATTCAGATCCCCTGGAACTGGAGTTATGGACAGTTTTTAGTCGACATGTGGGTGCTGGGAATTGAATCTGGAAGAGCAACCAATGCTCTTGCTGAGACATCTCTCCATCACTGTTTAAGATTTTAAGCCCTACTTAACCATGCCTGCATACATCATTGAGCTTAAGATGATAATACAGTTTCCATTGAGTTTCCTAGGTTGAATGCCATTAGGAAGGGGAAAAAATTATAGAAAAGGCCAGAATGCCTGATTTTTTTTCCCAGTTAAGAAACATTTTCTGAACTGGGTGAAGATTCACCAATTAAAGAAAGTAAGAAAGGGTGAAAATAGATGTTTTTTTCTTATTTATTTTTTGTAGGTATTGGGGATGGAACCCAGGGCCTTCACATGCATGGCAAGTACTCTTCCACTGGGCTCCATCTCCAGACAAATATTTTGTAAGAGTCCAAGTTGAATGAACACATTCAGTTATTTTAGCCCCTTCATGATAGGTTTAAGGATAATTAAATTGGAAGGGTAGCTTAAGTAGTTATGTTTGTTGTTTGCTCAACAATTACACTGTCCTAACAGTTTGTCCTGAGCCTTCATATTGCTCTTCCCTTTGCCTGGCATCTCCCTACCTTACACCCTTGCTTTATTCATCATCAAGACAAGAAGGTAAAGGGAGATTTTCTATTTTGATTCCCAGTGTACCTGTTACTTAACATAAAGTCACCTGCTCCTTCTGCCCTTCATGTTTTATTTCATTGCTTATTTCCTTCATAGCGACTTACTATCTTTCCTCAGTTGTGTGACAAGTTCTATGATTTCTTTTAAATAGCCAACTGTCCTGGCCACTGTGCTGTTCTGTGTGTATTATCAGTACAAGACCTGACATTTAGGGTATATTTTGTAGTAAAGGAATTACTGTGGCAATGTAGTCAGATTCTTGAAATGCTATTTTCTTTTAAAGTGATGCTGCTTCAAAAGTCATGGTGGAATTGCTTGGAAGTTACACAGAGGACAATGCTTCCCAGGCCCGAGTTGATGCCCACAGGTAATGTTAAACATTGTTCCACTGAGCACTTGTCAGCAACTTTGAGATGACCTACAGAGTTCAGTTCCATAACTCTGAAGTCATCTTTGCAACCACCAGTGAGCCAGGGCTCTTCAGTAATGTGTTCCTGTCATTAATCCAGTTCAGGATTGGGTATTGTAAGAACCATAGGTTGCAAGTGAAATAGCCACTTGGTGTTTACTGTATAGAATATTGCTGTTGTGGGCATGAGAACCACAACCAACCTAAAAATTAGAGCCTGCTTTTAGGTCAGTTTCTCTTAATAAGGTATGTAGATGGGGAAAAGTTTTGTTGCTTGTCAAAAATTAGTCCATTACTTATGAGAAAATGAGGGCTTTAACAGTCTTAGATCTAATATAAAAATGGGAATAGAATCATATTTTTTGCAGATCTCTTTCATTGTCTCTCAAATGGTTGTGAGCACTGTCAGGGTTGTAAGAAATAAATGAAACACTGCCTGTTGGGTGCTGTCACCGTGGTAAGGTGCTGGCTGCTGTTTGCTCTTGGTGACCTTGATGCTTTCAGCTGTGCTTTTGTTTATCACTGTTTTATCTCATTATGTTAAAACAGATCCACTTGATAAAAAGATGTATCGTCCTGTTTCAACCCATTTTTTTATCTTCTGGTGTTGTACATTGGATTCTTAGTTTACTGAGTTAATATATCTTGTGATCTGCTAAATAATCAAAAAGCTATGATTTCAAGGCCCAGCTTACTCTTTTGTTTTCTTATTAAGGTGTATTGTACGAGCACTGAAAGATCCAAATGCTTTTCTATTTGACCATCTTCTTACTTTAAAACCAGTCAAATTTTTGGAAGGCGAGCTTATTCATGATGTAAGTAGTTTGTCCTTTAATCCGAATAGTATACCCATTTCCTAAGTCTTACATACTTAAGCAGCACTATTTGTGTTTGCATTAATGAAGGAAATTATTGAAGATCCTGCACTGTCAGGAAATTTGATATTTAGGACCCACCTTCTCCATCCATTAAACAATCTTACTTTACTCCTTCATCTCCAGACTTGGCCTGGCAATTATTTACTTTGCTATAATACATGTTTCTTTTAATTTAATACTGTATCCCAAATTAAGAAGATAAATATAATACTTAAAAACAATAGCCAGTACATGGTTGTGATCCCAGCATTCAAGAGGCTGAGGCAGAAGAATTGAAAGTTTAAGGCCAACATGAGCTATATATGGCAAGAGTCATTCAGAAACAAAACAATACATGATTATAGTTTTGAGTGCAGTTTTTAAAATGAGCCATAAGAATGGTTAGGCAGTGACCTTGTGAAGCATTTCTACACTAAATGTAGTGTTAGAAGTTGGTGTCTTAAAAGCGGGATTTAACTACAGTATAGCTGTTAAGTGCTATGTTGTCATTCCCCCTGCTCAAAACAGTGTTGTTTCTTAACTATACTGTCTGCTAGATACCTGTAGCAGCCAGGGATGCTTGGTCTCATACATGTTTTTTTTTTTAAAAAAAAAAAGAAGTTGGTGTCTTAAAACAATGTCTTTAGTATACATCTTGCTTCCTATCTTGATACTTTTTTTTTTGTCTCTTATCTGTATAGCTTTTAACCATTTTTGTGAGTGCTAAATTGGCATCATATGTCAAGTTTTATCAGAATAATAAAGACTTCATTGATTCACTTGGTAAGTGTTGGGGTTTTTGTTTAGTTGATTGGTTTATTGTGGGTTTGGACCCCCACCCAATGGAGTGATGAGAAAATGCTACTCTTAACAATAATGGTACTGTGAGATCCTTCAAATATGGTTGAGTCATATAGAGAGTAATATATATATGAGGCTTATATAGAGAGCAATATATATAAAACAGACATAGGTGAACAGTTGAAAAGGTGGTGTAGAATGAATTGGGAACCAGAAACTTAAGATACAAGATGGCATTTGTGATTAAAAGGGGTGGGGGGCAAAATTAGTAGTCAAACATCCTGGCCTTTTGTTTTCTCTCCCAGAAGAATTTGTTGAATTTTAGGCCCTTGCAGCTCACACTTTACCATGGTCTTGATACGTTTTAACAAGAATCAAGTGCTTAAAAGACTAGCTAGGAATAGTTCCATTGCTGTGTATGTTATTAAAATACAGGGATGGGAAAAGGAGCAGAAAGGCAACTGAAAAGATCACTATTTGATCATAATCATGACTTGTGAAGGTGTGTGTGTTTGTGTGGATTTTTTTGAGACAAGATCTCTGTAACCCAGACTGGTATTGAAATTGTGGCATGCCCCCTGCCTCAGCCTCCGAAGTGCTGGGATTATAGATACAAACAACCACACCTGTCATTTTAAGAGCTGGTAAAATTTGATGATAAAAGGGTTAAGATTGGTTGTGGGTATTTTTGGTTTTGTTTTGTAAACAACTTATTACTTAGATGCATGATGATGTCTATAAAATAGTGGGCTGCAAAATTAATAGCAGGTTTTCTTTCCTTTCTGATAAATAATATTCCATGTGTGGATGCCCCCCCCCTGCCAAAAACTTTTTGATAATTGGATCTAGGGAAGTAAAAATGGAGGTGTAATGATTTTTTTTACACCATGACAACTTGAAGACAGCATAAAAAGTCTGATTTTGGCTTTGAATTTTGTTGTGTTTATAATTTTTATGACGTGTGTGTGTGTGTGTGTGTGTGTACACAGAATGTCAGTTGGGAGGACTCAGTTTTCTCCTACCATGTGGGTCCCAGGGATCAAACTTAGGTTGTCAGGCTTGGCAGCAAGTACCTTTACTCACTGAGCCATCTCACTGGCCCTTGAACAGGTTTTAAATGTCTAAAACTACCAGTTTTTTTTTTTGTGGTGGTGGTGGGGTGTTTTTTTTTACATTGATGTCAACTGAAACTCAGGGCCTTTATTTTCTTTTAGGCAATAACCAAAATACAATAGAAGTTGATTGTGTGTTTCATAGTCAGTTGAATTATTAGCCTTATTGTTTGAGATGTAGATAATGAGTACTGTTGGAATCTACTTGCTAATAGTTACTTTGCAATTTAGTTAATATTAATTCCTGTCACCTGTAAATTTTATGCAACCATTGGGTTTGGAGAAGATTGACTTAATTTGAAATATACCAAGCTTAAAATAGATGCAAGACTGTGTAGAATATTTTGCAAGGTGCACTAGACCCAGAAAACCACATTGGGTCCCAGTTCATGCTTTGTGGCATGAAGCTGTGTGATGGAATGTTAATGTCAGCAACCTCTTTATTTACGCACAAGGCAAAAGGAGTAGTAATTAACACTTTGACACTCCCCCATTGATGTGTAATTGACTGTTTCAAAGGAGCACTGGTTCATAAGCTATTGCATGCATTAAAACTGCGTTTTCTATATTGCAGCATTTTAAGACAAGGGTCAGTGACAATGCAGAAATTGCTCAGTGATGCACATTTTTTTATTACTGCATTAAGGTTTGACATATTAGTAATGAATAAATGTTTCCATAAAATTAGATTTTTTATAACTTTAAAATTGAAATATGGTATAGAACACTGAGCCTTCCTCTTAGAAGGTAGTCTAGTTGATGAAACAAAGCGCTGCTTCCTTCAGATCTTGAACTCATACCTTACCTGCTTAATAGTTTGATTTTCAGAGCAAGAGCACTAAAGACTTTGTTTTATTTGCTATTTAAAGTAATGACTTGAGACATCAATTTGAAGTGCTTTTAGATAGAAGTAAAGTAACTATTTTTATATTCAACTCTTTCTAAAAGTAGTGTTCATTCCTTTGATACATTTTTGTTTTCATTTACAGTAAGGAACCTGCACAAAGAGAAGCAGTAAAACATTTAAAAAATATTTTTCGGGTTTAGGGAGATGGCTTAGTAGGTAAAAGTACTTGATGTGTGAGCACAAGAATCTGGGTTTGGACCCCCAGCACCCATGTAAAAGCTGGATGAGGCAGTATGTGCCTGTTACCTCTGTGCTGGGCAGGTAGAGCCCCAGGATTTGCTGGCCAGCCAGTTGAGCTGACATGGTAAGCTCCGGGTTCAGTGAGAGACCCTGCCTCAAAAAGTAAGACAGAAAGGGAGAATGGAGGACACCTGACTTTGACCTCACAGGGGCACACACACCTTAGATCATACCAGAAATTTGAAGACTTTCTGTCATATTTTTCTGAAAGGACTATGTATATGCCTGCAGAACTGGGAGTGCAGAGGGATTTTGACTCTTTTAATACTTGTTCCTTAGTAGCAAAAAATTCCTACTAATTTATTGTGCCAACTAGAAAACAAATTCCCTAATTTGCCTATCCCAAATTAACAGTCTTCAATTTCAAATCTTTTTCTAAAAGAAGCTTTAGGAGAAACATTATTAAGTGTTTATGTTGGGGGTTTTAGATATATTATTAGGTATTTAATACAGATGACAGGTTATGAGTAAGTAAATTCCACAAGTGGCATCCATTTATCAAAACATTTCTTTTTATTAACAGTGACAACTTGGGCCAATAGTATCATTATCTTGTGTCAACCAAATTGCCCTAACATGTCCACATGTAGTCTGGTGTTATCCAGTTGCTACCTTCTTGCTTCAGAAAGTTAATCAACATCTAATTTGCATTTGTTAATTAGGGTTAATGTGCACTAATTGATTTTTTGATGCTTGTAGGTTATCATTAAACCCAGTTAGCAATACCTACTTGTGTACCTCATTCATTTGAGTTATGATCATGTTTTTGTTGAATCTGTGCCAAATCAGAAGCCTGTATCATAATTACAGCTAATTAACAGACAATCATGCCCTATATTAACGGGTTTCCCTAGTCTTCCACTAATACATGAATGTTAGAAATTTCCTTTTATTTATTGGGTGCCTAGATAGATAACTTTTTAACATTACACACTTGAAATAATTCTAGTTTTTAAAACTTGCTTTTATAATATAACACTATCAAAACAAGTACAGATAACACTCTGTTCTAATTCTGCTTAGGATGAAGCTGTAATTTGGATCTTTGAATTTGTGTATTTTTGTGTGTTTGCGCTTGGTTTTATAAATTCCTGGTCTACAGTTGCTATTTTGTAACTCTAAGAAGTTACTTAATCTTTTTGCTCTCTTTGACTTTTGAAGTAAAAAGGATCAGATAATTTGTTATGCTTCCTTCTAGGCCTAACAAATTTTTGTGGCCTGCGTAATAGCAACAGTATGTTTCATTAGAAATTACAGTGCCAATATTAAATTATTGGTATAATTTCATCCTTTGGCCTTATCAAACCTTACCTGTTAACCTTACCTGTTAATGGTAGAGTTTTAGCACTAAATATATTTATTAGCCTAAAAATGTTAAATGATAAACACATTTTGACAGTTTGATCTGCAAATACTGAATCCAGAGGGACCAGAAGGGAAATGGATTATTTTCATAACTAAAAATGTTTATCAGAATTTTTTATATGTATGTGTACACAGTACTGGAAATCAAACTCTGCACATGGTAGGCAAACACCATATTACCATCAAGCGACATCTCCAACTCTGAAAACACTTTAAAAAGTGGCATGTTTGCTAGTAATAGTGACACAGAATGAATAGTCAGTAGGTAAGGAATCCTGTGTTTAAATGAAGCGCTCTTGGTGAAAATAGGTAATTTAACTATGAAATGCACTTTGTAGATTTTTGTCTCTTAAAATATATAAAAATGCGGCCGGCCTTGGTGGCACATGCTTATAGTCCCAGCACTTAGGAGTCAGAGGCAGGTGGATCTCTGTGAGTTCAAGGCCAGCCTGGTCTATATAGTGAGTTCCAGGACAGCTGGGGCTACAGGGAACCCTGCTTCAAAAAGA